TGAGATTTCAAACACGACTTGTTTTTCACAGTGATATGAAGAATGTTTGTGCGGAATAATTTTACCGGAATTTGTAGAATATGAAATCAGCGTTGTCTGTCAATATTTGTTCTGCAGTCCACTCCGTTTTGTTTTGTGGTTATAAGGAAACCATTAGAAGTAGAAGATATAAAGAAATTACCTGGTTTTGACTGAATATGTTTTCTCATCATTGCCCAAATATGTTATAAATCAGTCACGGTGTTGAGGTTGGGTGTAGGAGAGTAGACAAAGAAGACAGGTCAGTCAATTAAATCAGGAATCTTCGCCGAAAAAGGTGGCCTAGACACATGTTGCGCATGGTGATCCACTCTATGCATTGACGTGCAATTTTAGCCAAAATACAGTTGGGTTGGGAGAAGGCTCAAAGTGACCGGACCAAAACGTGACAACAGTTTGCGAATTCTCTGATTCTTGATCTGTAATTTCATTTTAAACGCATCCAGCCACGTTGCGTACATCCATGCAGTAAGCCACACCTATTGTGTGAGGGCTAATGATACTACGTGGTTGCCCAAACCTCGGTAGACCCAATGCTTGTTAATCATCTCACTGAAACACTGAGCTACAGCTCCACATTGTTGGTATGAACTGTGTAAAGAGGTATAGGTAGTTTGGTTGGTGTCCTCGAGATAATAGGAAGGTATGTTTGAAGGCTGACGTGACTGAAAAATTTCACTAACTTTCATTTTTCAAACCTTTCCTCCTCCGATATACTTCAATGTCATCTTTTTCTAAGCATCCTTTTACATGGTTGTGTGATGTGTGGTAAGTTAAATGGATGCACTTCTGTGATAGGTTTTACGTTAATTTATTTACCTGTCTCCCACCTACTGATTTCGAGAAGGCTGTAAATAATCTGAAACTTAAGTCATAACGGCTTTTATCAGAAGTATTTAAAGGGACTAGTGCAAGATTATTGAAAAGACTGAATGAAGTGTTAACCAGCTTATCAAGACTAGGTATGATTCCCTCTGTTTGGTCCCAATAGCTGATTACTCAAAGAACATCAAAATACTTTTGTAATAAGCATAAAAGAATTAGCTCGACGTAGTCTGAGATTCTAAGTTCTATAATCATAAGATGAGTCAGCCAATATCGGTGTGTAACCTGATATTATTGCATAACGGTCCGAGTTGTAAGACCTCAAATTAGCATAAAAGTAGCAATGTAAGAGAAATACAGGGAGAAATGTAATGATCAAATGCTTGAATAAAGCCCAAGGATAGTGAATTCAAGAAAACCAATCAGATTCAGACCTACTTGTGAGTGTATTGACCAGATCTTCATTCTCCATCAGATCTTAGAATGCGGGCACACTTACTGCATCCGTCACTAGATACATTTCTGTACCTGGAGGTGGCATTTAAATGCATCGATTGAAGTCTTTTAGCGGTATTTCTCGTCGAATGTAATACCTCCTAAGTACTAGTCATTAAATCCTCAGGGACTCAAAAGATGAATTTCGCGAATTCACCACATTGACCGGGTAAAGTTTAGTGAATAATTGCACTCTGTTCTTGTATTTGTTTCACAGCACACGTCCATATCCTAAGACATTAGAGTTATGGTTAGCGAGCCTTATTGGTGGATCTGATGGAGGGTGCGGTCATTGATAGCTTCAATGTTTAACTTGGTGTGAGGTTTCAGAATATCGGTGATGCTGTTTCGTGAACTCAAATCGTAATCGAGGGCTTCAATGATGACGTAGGAATATTAATCAAGAGACGTGGAGAAAGATTAGTAGGCAAATATCTTGAAAGTTGATGTTGTTTTGCAGGACTTTGAGTGCTCACAGATTTGTTAGGGTACCTGACACTTCATGGCTGCCCACACCGTGGAAGGCCGGTTCTTTTTGAGGTACTTAAAAAAGAAAGGTTAGTAATATTGGCATGTGACTGTATACCCCAAAAGACATGTGCTTAAAGGTGGTCACACGCTACCTTTAGTAAAGTTTGAGATTTTAGTTTGCGTTAGCTATGCAGTTGTAAACCCATATCCATACCCCTGGCACTGGAACTTTGGCTTGATTGTCTAGGAAGATAACTGTCAACCATTGGATCACGGGTTTAAACTCTGCTCCACTTCCCAGGCTTGGGCAGCCAGGTAATATCACTAACCGTCACACAATAGGTGGGCTCATTGTCTACCGCACGGATGTGGGCAGGGTGGCTGAGTGCGTTTATGTTTTTATTTTTATACTACTAACTATTTTTTATCCAATTACTATCGAACGGATATATCTAGTATGATAGGACCCTCAGCAAACAAGCGTTCCACCAACATAGCTCGTTTGTATTATGTTCTTAGGTACATGTAACGATATAATGCTTCAACGCGATACGGTTAACTATAGCAAAATGATTTCTCAACACGATATTCAACTGACACCAGGCGAAGAGGACAATAAGATTGGAAGTATATTTACTTCAACCGAATGGTTCAATATAGCTGAAAGCATTATACGTATAACATATTATAAGTTAGTTTTTCTTAGGAATTAGGCATCCCTAACGGTTTGATCATTGTAATATGCAACCCCGGCCACCACGTCAAGGTAACAGTTATCGTTGTGAATGTGCTGCTAATGTCCATATCTTTTGTAGACCTTTAGTTAGAATAGAGTAGGTGTAAAAAGTATTGAATAATGCCAGGGATGGAACTGTTTCCCAGAATAACCAGAAGGAATTACTAGATAACCAGTTCGTTTCATTTGTCTATCTAAGTACACTCGACGTTTTGGTTTTATCTACTACCGAAGTGAATCCGAAATATTCGTTGGGTGTTATCAGGGTCCGACCATAGTGACATCTATCTGGAAGTGGTTGACAACAGTCTGAAGATGGTTGGAGATGTACGTAGCATCCACAATTGACACAATTAACTATTTTTTTCGAACAACAAGGAGGATTTGAGAAGTATTTCCTGGTTTTTTCAGTGTTATCTATCAAACTATAACCATAGAAATCTTGAAGCATTATTGGATATCAACCCGACATGACCTTATTTCGTTTCACATCACCATTTTATGAACTGACCGATTATTCCCACCAGTTCTAGCGTCAGCAAGTATCATAGATCTGGTAAGCGTAAAATGTATTCCAACTAGGAAGGCTAGTTAATGTAAGATGAATTCAAAAATTGGATAGGGTTTTCACTTTGCTAAAACAAGTGTGGAGCTGTGGTCTATTGGTTTAGGTAGTTGGCTTCCAACTAGTTGGTCAAGAGTTTAGACCCCTGGTCTATATATTGAGGTCTGGGCAGCCAAGTAATATATCACTAACCTTCACACAACAGATGTGGTCGCATTGTCTGCTGCACAAAAGTACGCATGGTTGGTGAGTATGTAGTAGTATTGTATAGGTAAAGCAAATGTCAAGATGTCAGTAATATGATGTTTTCTCTTTGATCTTGCATGTTTGTCTTCGTCATCATGGATATAGAAACGTGTCTCTTTTCATCAAAAACTAGATACACATGGTGTTACAAAATAGTATAACATTATAACGAAATAAATGGGGAAAGTTTGTCAAGAGTGACAAAATGATCAGAAGGAAAAAAAGATAATCATACAGGACAAATAGATTTAATCATAAAAAATAGCTCTGAAAAGGCCTTTGACAGCGTCACCCGAGAAGTAATTTGGCAACTGCTTCAATACTATGGAATACCACAAACCTTTATCAACCTCATTCAACAATTATATGAAGACACCACATGCCACGTAATTCACAATGGAAAGTTCAGTGATGCTGTTGAAGTGAACACAGGTGACAGGAGTGAAACAAGGCTGTCTACTATCACCCATGATATTCCTGATTGTAGTGGACTGGATCATGCAACAGACAAGTGTGAGGAGCTGTGAGAAGAGGGGGATACGCTGGCTGGACTGCGGAAAAGAACCTAGAAGATTTGGATTTCGCCAACGATGACTTGTGTCTAATGTCACACAAATTTGAAGATCTACAGGCGAGAACTAACAAGTTGACAAAAGAGGTAGGGCAGGTCATCGAAGACGGGACTTCAAATGAATGTAGAGAAGACAGAGGCGATGATGATACCCAACCAACATTACCACCAACAGCAACAAGCTCCAGTCACCATCAACGGGAGAAACTTAAAGAAAGTAGCCTTTTTCACCTATCTAGGCGGCATCGTTTCAACTACAGGTCGCACAGACTAGGACGTCGAAGCCAGCCAGGATTGGAAACACAGCAAGACAGGCGTTGATTAACCTGAAACCAGTGTGGAGATCTTCTGCACTCCACTCAGCATAAACGTGGACAATATCCGGATTTTCAACACCAACGTCGACTCAGTGCTTCTGTATGGCTCAGAGACTTGGTGTCTTACGAAAGGAATTTCCAACAAACTACAGACATTCATCAACAACTAACTACGCTGGCTCGTTACTGAAGATCAGATGACCAGAAAAATGAGAATAAGCAACAAAGAACTCTGGCTGCCTGGTAACGAACCAACCAAGAACATATTGCTCAACAAATATGCAGAAGGAAGTGGAGATAAGTTAGGCATACACTGAGAAGGCGGAGTCTGGACATCACGTGCCAGGCCAGGCATTCGAGTGGAATTTAAAGGGGAAACGACGAGTTGTGCGTGGGAGGCGAGGGTGATATGGAGGAGATCATGTGAGGAAGAAATGAAAGCTTGTGGGCAGTGGTGGAGCGAGGTTGAAAAGACTTAGGAGAAGAGAGTGGAATGGATGCGTGCTACTGAAGCCCTATGTTCCAATAGGAACCCAAGGGAATGATAATAATAATAATAATAATAATAATAATAATAATAATAATAATAATAAACAGCTAAAGGTAGTCTAGTATTAGACAAATGTGAATGAGCATAATCGTTTTTTGATTATAATTCCTTTTAACTCATTAAATTCTGTAAAATGGTAATGTTTAAATAGTTAATATATATTTTGTATCCTGAAAATGTTTTAGGAACTAATTGATCAAAGAATAATTCGTTCTTCACGAATAGTGAATAGTAAGCTTTACTCTATTGATGAATTTCCTTTCTTTATCATCAGATGAGTTAAACACCATTGATTTCATTCTACCTGATGGTTCTGTAACATTTCGTACATCAGTTGAAGAAAGGAATCGTGTCTTTGTCCAACTGGTAGGTTAATCATTGTGCTATAATAATAATTATTGTTATTATTATAACAATAATGATTTTTAGGGGACCCCAGAGCCAGAAACAGCACTACAAGCTGCAAAAATGTTGTAAGTTTACCCTATTCATAATATCTAAGAGTTAGACAGAGAAAATGATGTAATGGGTATTGATGTGAATATGGGCTGTCCTAAAGGATATTCTATGAAGGTAAGTGTATGCACTGAATGTAAACTACCATTTATGCATAGTTACTTTTTCAGTAGAAAGTAGTAGTATATCTATTTGTTTAAAAAAAATCACCTCTGAGGAATACTGTGATAAGATTCCAAGCCAGGGCATAATGTCTTCTTGTAATCTGACAAGAAACTGCCGTAAATCAACCTGGGGAAAATGTAGGTTAGAACATGATTAAGTACGTACTAAACTATTGTAAAACAAATTACCTACTAAGCATGGAAATGAAAAATTTTTAGTTGAGGATAAGGATAATGGTGGTTCGGTGTTCTATTATCTCTGGTGTTTTGTCATAAACATTTCACTACCAGACTTGATGACATCATTAGAAGTAACTTCATAAGCAAGTGACTGAATATATGTTACGCTGTACCTGTTTCGCTTGTTACAAGTTTACAAAGTCATTAATTAAAATAACCTTGTTCGTTTAGAACTTGAACTTGATTTCAAAGTTTTTAGCAGACGTGAACTGATGTCCTAATGTTATCACACATCCATGTGGTGGTTTGTGGGAAAGTGTTATCTGAAGTAAGGACAACCAATAGGGGTTCACCAAGAATGCCCATTATCACCGGTTTTATTGGATTGTTATATGTGTACTTATTGTGTCACCCTATGTACGTTCGACTTCTCAGAGATTGATTTACTCTTAAGAGAACATCTATTTGACTTCGATTACTCAGACGTCAAGGTCATATTAGATGATGATTTTGACAAAATGTGGAGCCTTTTAAACGCCTTCAGCGAGAAACAGTATGTTTGACGTATATTTTGCGTCTGTAAAATGTAAGATGGTGCTTCAGAATGGATTTGCGTGAACTCCTACATAGTGGATAGGAAGTTAAGTGATAGGATTGTTGACAAAAGCTCAGCTCGAATACAAGACATCCGTTTGGCATCCAACCGTTTGGGTCATCTGTAGTGCAGTTGATATATCCGACTGCCTATCTAAGGAGAAGTATACTGCACCACATGTTGCTCTATTTTATTGTACGGCTATGAGATATGATCGTTAAAAGTACTTGATACGAAGAGTTTACAGGTTTTCGACTATAGATGTCTGCGTAGCGTTGGTATTTTGGTGGGTAGGATCATCATGTAGGCATTGGTAGGGTTACGCTGATGGTACTGGTCTAGGAGGGCAAATCAGTCGATGAAGTTGCTAATGCCCTCCCGTTTTATTGGTTTGAATATATGTTTCACATGGTGAGCCACCGCCTACTTAATACTCAAAATTAACCGAAATATGATTAAGATGAAAGAAAGCTAAGGGCAGCCAAAAGAAGATGTAGCACCAGTCCATCAAGTCTTTATTGTTTCGAGTTGTGTTGAGAGGTGTAAGGTAACTAAATAAGGTCCAGGACAGGATAAGAATGAGTAGTTGGAGCGATAGATCATTGATTTAGACTATTAGCTTTCAGTTAGAGTGGGTCACGGGTTCAAACCCATCTCTACCTACTAAAGTTTTAGCAGCCAGGTAGTATCATAAGTCCACACACAGTAGGTATGTCTCATTACCTTCTACGCTAACTTACACATGCTTATTGAGTATATCTCATTCATTTATTATATATGACTCAAAGTCATTCACAACGGTGCGGATGTATACCACGTTTGTGATGTTTTAGTCTGGTTTATAAAATAAGCCTATTTCATATTAGACTGGTATATGGTTAATTTCACTTACTAATTGTGCTTCATTTATTCATTTATTTAATTTTTATTAAGGGTGGGATGGGTGCAGCTTTACTCATGAAACCAGAAACTGTGAAAGAAGTGAGTTTTTGATCATAGAGTTAACGTATTATCATTTTATTGTTGTATGAATACAGTGATTTTTTGCTGTGGATGATATAAAATATTACTTTGTGAACTTTATGTATAGGTATCTGGGACTAAAATATGGTCATCATCATCATCATCAATATCAACACAGGACCAGACATTACTGCGTAACGGTCCGAGTTGCCACACCTCATATCAGTACATCAAGTAGAAAGGTAGTGAGGTGAATGATGAAGATAAGAGAATGCAGTCAAAAGAAATATAAAGTACGGGAAGAAAGAAAGGAGTAATGAGAAAATGGTGAGATTCGGTATAGCGTCGTTAAGATGAGGATAATGTGTGTATACATCTGCTCCACTGACATCGATTCTCAACCATGTGATCATCTACAGTCAGTCTCCAACCACTGGTTCCTCTTGTCCCGTGGACCTCAACCACCTAGTCTGCATCGCCTCACATGGCTCAAAACAACAGTCAGAGACTTCATACATTGGTGCCATATTTTAGTCTGGCCACCTTGAGCCTTTTTCCAGCCTAGACCTAATTTGGCCAACACTGTGTGACGAGGCAGTCGGTGACTGGCCATACATAGTACGTGTTCCAATCATCTCAATCGATGCAGGTTCATAACCTCGTCAACCGACTTACCTCTACTCCCTAAAACTCTACACCTAACTTCTGTATTACTCACGTGATGACACCACGAAACAAGGCCTATACTATGAAGGCAACGATGGTCAAACACCTGAAGCCAGCCTTCTTATATCTTCCACTTTCAATGGCCATGTTTCACAGCCATACAGTAGAACAGAGCGGACTGCTGTGCAGTCTAGCAAGTCTTAACTCCGGAATAAGGTCCGTATGACAACTGGAATCAATATTTTGGAGATTTTTGATGATATTGCTCAACATCGATGTCAATATCGCAGATGTCTCCACACAGTCTTCATCTCGGTTATCATTTCAAATTTCATTGTTATTTTGCCTCCCCCCTCCTCTCCTTCACATTTTTTCTTCTTTTAATCGTTTCTTCCTTATTTCTCTTTTATTTTGGTGCTTTCTTCTTGAATGTGCTGATATGACTTGTATCAACTTGGACCATTACACAGCAACATCAGGTCCTAATTCGATACTAACTGACTAAATCACTAACCTGTGTAACTTATAGATTCGTGCATATGTGTGCATGCCAATTACATCGTTATTTCTTATTAACTAAGTTTGTAATGTTATGCGTAAAAAATACACAAAAGAGGAAGAAAAAATTTAGTAAACAAATAAAATAGTTGAACAGATTGAAAAACTATACACTTTTGAATTTTGAGGCAGGTGTGGAGATTTCGAGATATTTCAAGTTGTCATTCATCGTAGACTGACATCAGTTGGAGGAACAAAGTAAACCTGGGAGCACTGGATAGCTGTTTCGTCCGCCTAGTATGGGACTCCTCAGCAGTGCGCACCTACGACCCTGCCGGGGACCGAACCCGCAACTTTCATGTTCCGTGTCCAGCACGTTACCATTGAGCTAGCCACTGGATCAGAATCCAGTGGTCCATATTTCCAACTTCTGTCAGTTCATGATGTAGCGCAATCGCCACCCAATGTCATCGTTGAGTACTTATGCTGACGATAACCGGGTTTGCCTCACTGGTCACGGCTTCTCACTGGAACTTCGGGAATCACCTCTTGAAGCTAGTCACTAATGAATGAATAAACAAGTTGACAATAACGGTTAGTGCAAATATTCAAGCAACTTTAGATGTCAAGGAGTGAATGTATTTGCCCCATTTTGCTCCATTTCAGTTGTGTCCCCAAAAGTCAGTCCTCATCCAGGTAGTCTACATCACCCTGCACGATTCACACCATGAACTGGTGCCACGTTTTAGTCTGGCTACGTTGAACCTTCTTCCAACCTAGACCAACTTCCCCTAGTGTGGTACATCGGTATATGTGGTCATTCGGTGTATGCAGTACATGTCGAAGCCACCTCAATCGATGGCTGTAGATATACGGTTAGTTGAAGCAGATGGAGCGACTGATATGAAGTTACCTGCTCATTGGGTTTGATTTGAGAGATAATTTTGATGAGATTTCATTTGTATAGTTTGCAACATATATTGCATTAGTGGATCTTCTCTGTATAGATTGTAGGTGGAAGATCTGCGAGTTATTGATGTTTTATGAGTTAAGCAGTATTTTTAGAAGTTCACTATCACAAAACTGTTTTCTTCAATATGAGCTTAGAAAAAGTTAACTGGAAGTTCATTCTGTTATTGTATGCTAATGATGTGTGATAGATTTTATTGATGATAATGATACAACTCAACTCGACAATACAAATGTTAATGTACTAGACTGTTAGCCATATGTCATAGGCGAGGGCTTAAAAATACTCGTCAGTTCCCCAGGTAGAAATATGTGAAGTGGGATTTGAACCGGAGACTTATAGTTAAAATCCCATACCACCTACTTCAGCATGGGTCCTCACACATTTTGTACGATTCATAGCCTAAACCATGTATATGTATTTGTCTATGTTGCGACTGCATGTGTTTTCGAAGAAAGCATACACCGTACCGTCGCGAGAAGCTCTGTGTATTGAATTGTAAGGCCGCAAGTACTGACCGAGGAACTCCAACCGCTGTTTCTTATCGTCTCGAGGACCTCAGCCAATCAGTCTACATCTCCCTACATGGCTCAGACCAACCATTACAGATTTCATCGGTTGGTGCCACGTCTTGGTCTAGCCAACCTGAACTTTCTTCTGACCTAATCCTACATCCGTCAACATCACAAATACTGGTCGATGGCAGCCTGGCATTCGCAGCATGTTCAAGCTACCGGAGTTAGTGAACGTTCACAACTTCATCAGTTGGTTTGGTTTCTTTGCCTAGCACCCTTTGCCTGACCTCGACATTGCTCATATATTGATTCCACTATAAGTGAGAAATGCTACGAAGACACATGTAGTCGAAAACCTGCAAGCACTTCATATCTGCTACTTTTGACAGTCATGTTTAAGGGCCTGAATGGATGGCAATGCAGTATGTCTGTCCTTGGATAGATAGTCGGATATCTCCCCAGTTAGCGCCAGAGATGATGTAAGGTGACAAATGCTAAACGAATCTTCTGTATCCGAGCTGAACTTTCGTCAGCAACCAGAGAATCGACTCCTGAATAGAGCAATACTAGCACCATATAAGCTATTTCTTACACTGTGAATCAATCAGAACAATTTGACATGTAAGTCAGTAGAAACTAGTTTCGTCACGGTCGTATACTTACGAAACAGTTCGTTGTGGATTATTCCTCGAAATAGTGATTACTATCACGTCAATCCACATAAATACTTTAAGTCTTAATGTTGAACACATTGTGTTTATGTTACCAAATCCAGGCATATTCATTTCAGTTAGTCTAAACAACATTTAAAAGGCTGTAACTTCCCCTTATCACATATTTAATTGGTCAATATCAAAGTTCCTACAGTGTAATTGACAATAGCTATCAGATGAATAAGTGTGACTATGGATTTCATATCAGTACTTCGATGTGGTCCACGTAGATTGCTGTATTGATGTATGTTTTTATCGGCATATGAATAAAGTTATGACAAGCTAATCAATCATCCAAGCTTTCATTAATCTGAAGTCACTGTGGAGATCTGCACTCTGCACGAATAACAAGATCCGAATTTTCAACACCAATGTCAAGTCAGTGCTGCTATATGATTCAGAAACTTGGCGCGTCACGAAAAGCACTTCCAACAAACTACAGGCATTCATCACATCAACAGCTACCACCTACGCTCACTCGATACTGAAGATCAGATGGCCAGAATAATGAGAATAAGCAACAAGGAAGTGTGGCTGCCTGGTAACGAACCAAGCAAGAACCTATTGCTCAACAAATATGCAGAAGGAAGTGGAAGTGGAGATGGATTGGGCACACACTGAGAAGGCGGAGTCGGGACATCGCGTGCCAGGCCAGGCATTCTAGTGGAATTCAAAGGCGAAACGACGAGTTGTACGTGGGAGGTGAGGGTGATATGAAGGAGGTAATGTGAGGAAGAAATGAAAGCTTGTGGGCAGTGGTGGAGTGAGGTTGAAAAGACTTAGGAGAAGAGAGTGGAATGGATGCGTGCTACTGAAGCCCTATGTTCCAATAGGAACCCAAGGGAATAATAATAATAATAATAATCAGTTATACAAACAAATACGCATAAATAGTTGTCTAAGTTAGTGAATATCGGTGTGCGGAACTTGGATTCTGTGATGAAGTTTAATTCCGTATTAGCTAAGTTTTATGTTGGAAATCTGTCTTCTGTTTCGGAGATAACCTATTCTTATCGTCCTCATTACAATCTCTGATTCATCATGTACTTATAGCGTCATGGTAAAACTACAGTTACCCCCTCCGTATGTATGGCCACACTAGTTGCGCTTTTTCCTGAACTATGAATATGGCTACTGTAGTATGTTTAAGTAGTATAATTGTATACGTTGGTGAAAAGTTTGTGCATAATGTAGATAAATCTACCCTAAGTAAATTTTTAATGAGAAGGTTACACACAACGATGACAGAATTGTTATGTTGGTAATATTTCGAGAAGAAATACTGCCTATGATCAGATCAACGGTTGAAGCTACTTATTCGTGTATTTACCAATAGATATCACATGTATAGTGTTTTATCATTTGACTATCTGAGATAGCCGTAGTTCGGTAGACTAGTATTTATACTGGATGAGGATTGACAGTGAGATGAAAATCTGGACCGCGGATGGATTCGAACCAGCGACCACTGGCTTAAGTCCGGCCGTGGTCCAGATTTTCATCTCATCTTCAATCGTCACCCAGTATAAGTATAGACTTTTCTTTCTGTTGCCTAGTCTGTTTGTTTAATACAATGTTCCAAATGATATTATCGATGAATGGTGGCTAGAAGTGGAATCCAGGGCGTGCGTTTTGTCGTACTTAGGACTCATCAGC